ATGGAGCTAATGACTGTGCGACCTTCAACAGAGATTGGAAGTAGAGGGAGTGGGGGAGTACTTAGTTGGGAGGAAAATAGCGCAGACATTAAAGGATACCTGATAATGGTAACCTTTCTCTGGTGGGGACACAAGGCCTGAAGAGAAGTATGTAAACACCAAAGCACTGAGGACAGTGTTATTTCAGTATTATTGATATACTATTAGACCTGTAGTATTTAATATTTTAAATTACTTTTTTTTTTTTTCTGTTTTCTTTTTAAAGTTGTAGTTGTACTTTTTAATTGTTATTGTTTTTTTCTATTTAGCTTTATTTTGAGTTTATTTTCATTTGATTATTTTTTTATTTTTAAATTTAGTACTTCAACGTTTATACTAATGAAGTATTAGAACAGTTGTCTTGGCAATTAACTAAAATAAGATTTTCATCTAATATTTACATTTTATTTCAGCTTTATTTCAATTAACGGAAACCATTTTTAATCATTTTAGCTTTAGTTAACATTAACAACACTGACTGATGAAAAAGTCACTTCAAAATCAAAAATCAAAACGAAATTGTCAATCTATAATGTCACTATTTGAAACAGATCTATCTATCTATCTATCTATCTATCTATCTATCTATCTTAGTTTCCCACAAAAACAAAACAAAAAATCATTCAAAAGTAATTACAATTCAATAATTACTGAGGCGTTTGGGAATACGATACAATACTGGACAATAAAGAATGAATGCCTACAGCTGCTAAAATAGTGCTACTTACATCTTAGAGCTTACATTAATTTGTCTTAATAATAATAAGCTAATAGTGTGTATCTGATATTACACTAACGATGGAACATCTACACAGTATTTAATCTGCAGGAAGCTCACAGACACTTTAGCAGTTGGTGAAGTGTGTGGTGGTTTGTCCTAGCAGCAGGCCTGTTTAGGCTTTTCAGGGCAGACTGCTGAGGTTGGTGAAGGCCACAGAGAATACAGGGACCATCACGCCTGCTTGTCTCCATCTGTAGCTGAAGCTGGTAATTATAGTTGGGAGAGGCGCCCGCAGCTTGATGCCATCTGCCAGCGGGACGGCAGAACCAGGCTGAAGCGGGCACAAAGGCCCAGTTAAGTTCCCTTAGCTGTGGCCGACAGGAGGACCAACACCTGCCAGCGAGCCGCTGGGTCTCAGCTGCTCGGATGGGGCACGCGACGGAGGAAAGCGAGGTCTGGTCAGATATGGTGAAAGCAGCAGGTCACATGCAGAAAACCAAGACTAACGGTGTTTCTGCATTATTGTATAAAGCAAAACAACAATAATCGAAGTGAGTGGCTTTAGAGGGCTGACTTCACACAAATGTAAAAAAAAAAGTGAGTCAATAATACCATCTTGTGGCTGAATACATGCAGTGCAACTGAATGAAAGCACAAGAAGCGTGTCAAGCCTTTACTTGAAACTTAAAAACAAGCGTTCCGGACACATTCTCACAACTCTAATTTAACATCCAAGCGAGTGTAATGACAGGAAGACAGCTGTGCTCCTGTCTCTCTCTTTCCTACGTGTTGGCACAGCGTAGTGATCCTTAGTCTGTTGTAGCGCGGCCATACCCTACCCCTGCTCTGCCCGTCCTGCGTGTCACCAGTCCAGAGCTCGTGTGCGTACCGCTGGTAAGCGTACACAGATGGTGCGGGGGGAGCAGCGCATGAATATATGATGCTGGAGGGTGAAGTGTAGCGGGTCGAGGCAGATGCCCACTGGCCCCGCGAGAGCCCCTCTGCTCGGTCAGCCACGGCCCTTAGGCTTCCCACCACATGCTGCAGCAGAACCCCAGCGAAACCTCTCACGCTCTTCAAAAGTGGACGTCGACATGTTTGATAGAGTATTTAGGATGGATGGAAAACTATGGAATTACTTGTTAGACTTCACGTGGATTTATGTTAAGATTCGCAATCATTTGAAAAGTGGAAACACAGTAGGGATTTTTCACACTGGATTTAACCACACAGCATTCTAAACCCAGATTTTGAAGGTTGCACACTTGTAATTTAGAGGCGGGTTAACACTACTTTTTATCGAGGGTTATGAAAACCTGTTCCGTCAAACTTGTGCATTGAGAAACAATGCGGTGTTACGTGTACACCGGACGCGACAGTTGTCCTGTCGCGCCGCACCGCAACAGCTAAGGTCTGTCTACGCTGGACACGACAAAGCGACCGTTGAAAATCATTTGAAATTTGTGTGAATACGTCATAAATAGAACGCGGCATCAGTTTACTGTCGGGGATTTGCCGCGCCGCTCGGGTCCGGTGTAGATAGGTGTTAGAATGTTAAGGCTAGGTGCTTAGCAGTAGACACCCAGTCAAGGAAACACATTTAATGTTTGAGGGGGAAAATGTCAAATGGTGACGATAAGCACTGCATGAAGAAGAGAGTGTTTTATTCTCACGTTTATGGTCCAAAATCTATTCAGGGGAAATTTATAATACAATGATGTTTTTCATGTTTACATAAAAACTAAATGCTTTATGTAAACTGCATGATGCATTTATCCAATCAATGATATTGACACAAGTCATTCTTGAGAAGTGGGACAAAACAGGGTGCAAAGTGGTGACATCTGACGGTGTTGACAAATTTGGCATTTCTTTCACAAAACCAATGGAGTTCATGTAGTAGCCATTTTTCTGTTGATGCTAGATGCTAATGGAACCTGCTTCAGGAGACTAAAATTATCTAAATATTTCAAATAATTTCCTCAGAAATTGGAAGATGGTGTTGACATATCATGGCTGTGACACAGGAAACATTAACATTAGTTTGCTGGACCTGTTTTGTCCCATGTCTCAAGAATGACTGATATGCAAATTAATTGTTAACCCCGGGTAAAGTATGTGCACTGTAAATCTCTTTCAAACGTAAAAAGCTCCTAAAACATAAAGAATTAGTATTTTTAAGATATGCCAATTCTATGAGGCAATTATACCTCAAACATGAAAAGTAAAAGTTGCTAAAACTGCTACATACAATCTGTTTATGTGCTTGAATCAGTCTATGGTTGTAGCCCTCACGTAAGGAACCAGAAGAGATTCCTCGGAACTGCTAACCAGAAGAGATTTTATATAGCAGAGATGTGCCACATTTGTATTCCAAAGAATGGAAGAAATTGAAGCGTCCAACATGGCGGCTCTAGTAAAGGAAGTTCTACCTACAAAATAATTGTTGAGATTTTAGGAATTTCCTTATTCAATTATACAGGAGCTGTATGCACTACAACAAAGTAAGTTTTCAAGATTGGCCGAAAAGTGGAAAGGTGAACTGCCTTGCCTTCAAGTCATGTCGGAAAAATCATATTTATGAGTTGAACACACATGAAAAGCTACCAAGAGTCAGATTTTAAATGGGAAACCCAGAATTTTTTGAGGCCACGAGCTTCCGAGTTAGGGTGTACAATTATGAAAAATATATAACAATTCAGTTCACAAAATCTTTATATACTGAACAAAACCAAAGCAAAACACACCTGATGCAAACTCTTTATTTCGCAGCATAGTTAAAAAATCTTGCTGTATTTTTTTAAAGGTACATCGCAATTTTGCTCCAACCAAACTGATTTTAACGCACCTGACTTTGCAATTACGACTTCCCAGCTTTTAAATACTAACTTCCCAGGACCTGAATGCTAAATCTAAAAACACTAAATCTAAATGAGAGTCAACTTGAAAAATTTTGCAGTATGACAGTGAAAAGGTACAACATTTATACTGTTCTGCCCAAAGGTAATTTTATTTTTTATACTTTCTAAAGAGTTGTTCTAATGCACAAGAAAAGCCAAACAACTGCTTCGCAGCATAATAATATATTTAAACGTGAAAAACATGAGTACACATTATACACATTATTATAAAAATTTTTTTTTTTACAAAACATAAAAAAAAATAAAGGCATATTTAACAAAGAACAAGAACAAAAACTAGGTGTGCCCTAGTCATAAACCAGTTATTAATGTGCTAGACAATGAACATGTGGGCTTACACATCACATTTGGCAAACTGTTCCTAAAAGTATTACTCCAAAAAATAAATTAATTAAATAAATGCACAACTCCTAGAGTGACCTGAAAAGTAAGACGTTAAGCCTCACTGGCCTGATTACTCTGACCTAAATTGGCAGGCACATGGTAATGCACGTTGTATTTGGATCTTCAACAGGTTGTGGATAAGACCCGTCTGGGTTGGAAATGCAAACAAAAGCCATCATGTGTGTTATGTCAACAAAATGTATCTGTAGATGACATCATTCACAAAGTGAATAAAATATTAGCTTACTTTAATGATACATTTGTGACAGCTCGGTTATAAACAGTGATTGATATGTGACCAGCTGTCTGATACCAGGATAACAAAAAATCTTTCAGCAACACCCAAGCCTACAAGCTTTGAGAAGGCATCAGGTGACATGTCTGCTACGTCTATAGTGTGTGTACAGTATCTGAGTAGATTCAAATGGAAGAACAATGTTTTACTGTCCTAAGAAAGAGCTTCTAGGAAGCATATAGAAGCAAGTGGCAGACTGAGGCTCATTAGAGCCTCTGCTGGAGGTACAGAAGTGAAACATCCGTGGCCTCCAGCATGCATATGCAATTAGACTGAAAAAAACTGGCTGAGATATTGAGGTTATGTGACTATAGGGATGGAACGATTACCGGTTTCACGATAAATTGTGTATATATATATATAAGTGATTTATTATTATTATTATTATTATTAGGGCTTCATGTTAATGTTAATTTAATGTTTATGCTAAAAAAAGTGCATATAGCTGCTAATTGTATTTGTTGTTTGTTGATTTTCAAATATAAAACTTATTGAAATGTTTTCAGTGTGTGTATCAGTTCTTTTTGAACGTTTTCATCTAATTTGAACAAAACCGTGATAATATTGATAATCGTGATAACTTTGGTCACTGTAATCGTGATATGAAATTTTCATACCGTTACATCCCTATGTGACTATGCTACAAGAAAACTATGAAAGCACTGCTAAGAAATGTATTCCTGTCAAGTGTGTTTGTTATATCTCAGGATAAACAACATCAAAAAATAGCTTAGTTAACCTTAATACCACATAAAGTGAAGAAAAAGTGATGCTGAGAAAAGATACAAGACAATGTAACAAAAGACAAAACAAAAGTGTTTGCTTCCAAACACTACAGATCTGCTTAACTCCAATGGCTCATCCAATCAGCTTCTCTGCTCCTCTGTAACACCTTTCAATGCAAGTCAACATATTCAAAAGTGCCATCTCGTGGACAGATAAGTCTTTTACCAATGCACCTGCAAAGTGTGCTCAGGAGAACAAGACAGGATCACAGCCGATCCTCTGTCAAATGAGTGGAAAGTCACCTCCTGAAGCTGAAACGTTGCTCTAGGTGGGAAGAGGGTCGTCGTCGCCACGTTTACACTTGCACTTGCAGCAAAGCACGAAAGGAGTGGCCAGCAAAAGGAAAGGGGAGGCCACTAGTAACAGCAGACCGAAGCCAGCAAAAATCCCAACAACCTGAGCACAGAGGTGACAGATCCAGGGAGAAAAAGAGTACAATTAAGAAAAAAAGAAAGGAGCAAAAAAAAATAGGATAAATAATGTGTGCACATTCCTGCTGATTATAAAACCAGTATAGATTGGTCTGTGATGCTTTGACATGTCAAATCAGATGGCATTCAGCCACAGGGGGGCAGTAATGGTTTTGTGATCGTATCTTGGTGTCTGTCCTAGTGCTGCTGGTATTGATTTAGTAAAGAGAAAATCTACATTTCCAGTTCTAAAAAATTTAAAGAACTTTCAAGAAGCAAACATGCTAGATACAATTTATTATATATATATATATATATATATATATAGTATTATTTTTGAACCCCACGCACATGCCCCGCCCCCCAAGTACTCATTTTTTGAGACATATCGAAGATCGAAATGAGAAACTGAAACAAATGCCCAACTCTACAATTAAGATGAATATGAGTTACATGGAGAAGCAGCACTTAGTAACTCCAACAATATATTGGTCTAACCAAGCACATCTGGACTGGAGGAATAAGACATATAATAAGACATCCCAATAAAAGTTCTACTTTTACAGTAAATAGTATAAACTTGGTTAAAATAATAATAACAATAAGAAGAACAAAGTGAAACCGGTCATACTGTATAAACAACTTACATCTAATGACTCCAAGCAGTACCAGCAGAAGGCGTGCTTGCAGTTCTTACACATCATCTGGGCACAGCCTTCATCTCTCTCAATGTACACTTTACATTTAGGACAGCGTTTGATCGGAGCCTCGTCCTCCTCACTCTTGAGGTTGGAGCTGAAAGAGGGGAGATGAACATGCAACAGAACAGGTCATGACTCATGAGTCTCATGTTCGGTTTCATCAAGGCTATTTGAATACCTCTTACATTGAAGTGTCAGGTTCAAAAGAAATAACTTTTCCTAATGTTCTAAAATATGACTAAAATTATACTAAAATTTCAACTTGCTAACATGCTTTAACTGTATATATAAACAAAAGTTTGGGGTCGGTAAGATTGTGCTCACCAAGGCTGCTTTCATTTGATCAAGAATTCAGTAAAACAGTGATATATTATTTCAATTTAAAATTATATTTTAATGCATTTTCAAATGTAATTTATTTCTGTGATGGCAAAGCTGAATTTTCAGCAGCCATTACTCCAGTCTTCAGTGTCACATGATCCTTAAGTAATCATTCTAATATGCTGATTTGCTGAATGTTGTAGTTTCCACCATGATTTTGCTGAGATTAAACTGAATCCAAACAGAAACGTTACTAAAATGAATACCAGTCAGTTCCTGAAAAGTGTATGCATAATTTGTTGAGGGATACTTCAATAATATCTGTATACTGGACTTTTATTAGGGGAGAGAAACCTATTAAAAGAATCTGAAGGCAAGATAAGGGGTTATTTTTGTTTTTACATAATGAGCTGCACCACAGAAACAAGATTTCTGCTGTGAATGCTACATGATTTGATGCTGAGGGTTTAAAGTACACTAGTACCCGTTTTCCCCAGGCAGGAAGGTGGTAATTGGCAGGCTCTCCTGACACGTGTGGCCGGTGGGGCAGTCTGCCCTGCAGGCGGAGCAGAAACGCAGACTGCACTGAGGGCACTGCACCGGCTGTGGCAACTGCACCTCTGATTCATTCAGCTGGCACACTGCTTGGCATGAGGATGATGGGCACCAAGTCCGACAAGGATCCAGAAGCACCTCTGCAAGGAAAAACAAATAGCATATTTGAAATGATGACCCGTTTGATTTGATCTACAACTACTGTAGACATTTACATTCCCGGGTTTGACATGAGGTATCAAATTTTATTTTGACAAAAGAGGTTGATGTATAAACACATACTGTTATTTTGTATGTTGTAAGAACTTCCTCCCCAGTGAAAAAAACTACGATGCAAAAAAGCTCATTCTGAATGAAACAATGTTCTGATCACTTTATGTTGCACAGTTCTGTGTAAAAGATTTATGAATGTGTCAATTTGATGCAGGCTTTTCAAAGAGGCTGCTGTTGAAAGATGTAGCTGTTAAAATACTATATTAGACATGACAAAACTCACACAGGAACAAAAAAACTCATCTTACAGGAACAAAGCATTATTAATTTCAAATATAATGCATTTCTTAGAGGCACATTAGCAAAAAAAACAAAAACTAAAAAACAGACACCAAGAAATGATTGAAAATGGGTGTAAAAGCTAAATTAGAACTATGTACCTCGCTCAAACTGGAGTCTCTTATAACGCTGCATGACCTCGTTAGCCACCATAAACTCAATCTACATCAGAAAAAAAAAAATTTAATTTAAGCAAGACAGGAGCAAGTGACAGTGGGTGAGAGATACTTGATACTTTAAACTCAGCACAGTTATTTCTAGTCTTTGGAAAAATGACAAATTTTAAGCAAGCCTACCTCGTTTTCCAGCAAATGTCCTTGTTTTGGGCAGGCAGAGTCTGGACAGCTAATAGCCGTTTCAAGGCCTTCTTTAATGAGGAGTTCAACATATTGCTTCAAACACTGTAAGAGACAGATTCTTATTTTTGTTATCTTTGAAATAAATAACGAGACAAGTGCTGCCTGTGGTTATGTTTCCACCCACAATCCATCACAGCATTCTGCTGAGACGACATTCAAGAGCTGCTCGTAGAGAACAGGCCAGTTTGACCAATATCAAGATTCAAGAAGCTAATGCATCGCAAAAACAACTATCAAAGCATTAGTATCGAATTATATGTACACATACTAAATTATACAGTCTATATTTGGAAAAAAAACTAACAGTAACAGGATCACCAGCTCCTGTATGTTTTGTGCATTTACAATACTGTATTCCCACTTGTGAAAAGACTGTCAAACAATTTGATGGATTGCACACTGCTGAAAAACACACTGGAAGGCTACTGAAGACACAGCCCTTACCAGACTGCAAAATATGCACTGGCACTGGGAGATGGTGGTCATCTGTTCCAGGGGAAACTCTCCCAGGCACAGTTTACAGGACAGAAGGGGCGCCAGGTCCACGTCCCAGCTGGGTTCGTAGCGAGAACTGCTCATGGTACACGGATCTGGGACGCTAAAATACAGACAGAAAGCATAAAAAAAAACAGCTAATGCAGTTAATAAATATCATACCGTTTTATCGAAATAAATTAAAAACAAAAAAACTACAAAATATAATCAATTATAAATGCAACAAGTGAATTTAGCCATCACTACAAATGTAATTTTAATACAATAATATACTATTACAATGCTTAATAATATTTTAAATTTTTTTATATTTTCAGTTTTAATTTGGTGCTTTTGTCATTTTTATTAGTTTTTGTATATAGCATTTATTTTTTATATTTATAATTAGCTTTAGTTTGTTTTTATTTGTTTTATTAATTTTAGAACTTCAATAAACTTTGTTCAGGTAGCTGCCTAGGCAACATTTTTTTTTCTTTTATGTTTTTAAAGTTTTATTTTATTTCAGCTTTATTTCAATTACCAAAAACATTTAATAATAGTTTTAGTTTCAGTTTACGATGATCACGTTATAATGAACAGGTAATCCCCTTAAACTAGATTTGGGGTATCTCACTCCTTATTTATTAAAATATTTGGTCTGCCACAAGAGTTTTCCCTTAAGAGAGCTTCTGCTGTTTGCTAAGGGCTTGTCCAATCAGTCAATGGCAAGTATGCCAGTATCCCTCAGTACTGCTGCCAGGCAACCCAGAGGAAACTAATGACTGTCTCTACTGGAGTGCCCTACAGAACAGACTCCCTCAGAGAGTACGAGCAACACAGCAGCCTGCTAAAAACAAACAGACCTCTGCAAAATACACTGTATGTGCAAACTTTCAAAGCACCTTCACAATATGGCACAGCAAAACTTTTGCTCCAAAAGTTACTAAAATGTAACGTGATTCACTATACCACCTCATCACGCACTAGTACACACCATCACAAGCTGATAGAATTAATTGTTGAGGAACATTCAGATGGTCTAGTTAGTACGCTTCCGCACAGCAGATATCTGTGTAGGTGGAGACAGATGGAGACTCATGTGCTTGCGCCTGCAGTATCTCATTGTGTTGTGGTGAGAATAGTCGACAGCCCAAACAGCAAAAGGCTCTCAGCAGGCTGTTCGTCTCTCTGTTTGGGCCTCTCACCTCCATCAGCACACCCACACAGCCTTAACCAGACACAGTAACTCATATGTCATATGTAAAGCCACGTGTAGTGGTGAAATGATTCTGTCCTTTATGATTGTTGCCTGTCAAATACGTCCCCAGTGAGATGTTGGGTAAAAGCCAAGGCAGACTGTGAGACATCAACAGTGTTTGTATGATGTACATCTTAGGACAGTGCTGATGTGGTAATCACAGCTCTTTCTGACATCCTCACCTTGTGTACCACACAAATGAAGAAAATTAAATGTTGTATGGAGTCTTTCATTGACTGCTCATTCTCCAGAGCAAACGAGGCAGTGCTGATAATGTGAAGAGAACGCAATTTAAGACTTCTCTTTCTTTGACAAACACACTGCATCAAACGTCACCACTTGCTGTGCACCAAATTGGTTCTTCATTAGACAGTTGTCATAAGAGCAGTTACACTGTAGGACTGCAAACCAAAATGTCTGATTCTGTCAGAACTTCATTGGATGCCCATATACATGATACATCACAGCAGCATTTAAATGCCTCTCACTGTGAATGCAACACTAAGCGATAAAAGACTGCAGAGTCTGCCCTATTATGAAAGAAATCTTTCTCGATTACCAAAATTGGTCTCAAACATAAAACTGGTAGCCACATTCTTGCAGTATAGCCTTAATACATCAAATCTCATCAGGAGCAACTATATTATATTGGCGTGAGGGCTGGGCAATAAGGTTATCCAATGGCCAGACAAGTTTCAATCTTTCCTCTCCAGCAGCCTGCCACTCACATGAGACAATCGTCCATTGTAGACCCGATGGCCACTTTCTACAATCCAATAAATACCCAATGGACGCTGTTTGTTTTTTCTTGCAGAGGTGCTTCTGGATCCTTGTCGGACTTGGTGCCCATCATCCTCATGCCAAGCAGTCCCACCCTATATTTTTTCTGATTAGATGAATCGTGGATATATGCAGCCACAATAAGGAAGGAAAGTCACAATTTCCTGTTCATGACAACTAGGACATAATGAACATAATGGCTCATTTAAACCAAGTCCACTGTTGACTAAACATGAATGCAAAAGATATTCACATTTTTGGGTTGAGAAGAGTTTTGTGCAAAAATGCATTTTTCATTCTGTTTGTATGTAACCTATTTAAAAAGTCAATTATACAATTAATGAGTGGTGCAGCAGAAATGACACTTCAGCTGTTATAGCTGCGCTTTCTGGATGTCTTATTTAAGAAAAGCAAAGCAACCATAATACAATTGACTGCTATTCCTTGTGTGGTGTGAAATACTGTAAATTATTTCTTACTCTGCAATCTAAATGTTACTTTTCTTATATGACATAAGCAGCCTATAAATGCAACCTCCAGAGGATGCAGCCTCTTAAATGAGATGCAGAAAATGTCTGTCAACTAAATAAACAACAGGCCTCTGAGAAAGCACTCTATCAAAGACCTAACCACTCAGACAGAAGATTCAAAAACAAACAACTAGAACAAATTAAATTAAAAGGAACAAATTACCCGAAAAAAACTAAGATGTCCACTCCACCACACCCAAAATCAAAGAGGAAATCGATGGCATGAAAGAAGCCCTATAAATCTCCATTGTGCATTCATCTAGACAACGACTATCCACTAACCATCTGGAGCTCTTCCTCCATGGGTCAGGAAGGGAAGGTCAGGTAATACCCTATAACTGGATCACGCACAGCAGTTTGGCACAATGAACTCCTCATAGGGTCCAAGATGAGTACAGAAAGCGTCCAACAGTTTGGCACTGTAATCAAACTTTTCTATCTGCTGACGGAGGTAATAGTCTGAACTAGTTCTTAAGCACATTTTCTTGTCGTGTGTGCACATTTAAAAGTGCTCACAGATCCCTTCAATAAAGAAGCGGGTTTTGCTCAGTTTTGCAAAAAGCATCAGGGCTCCGGAGATGCCAATATAGCTTTCATCTAAGCTTTTAGGACAAGTTTGAGTAAAATTATATAACAAATGATAAAGGTCTTGCATAAGATCTATTTTTAATCTATCTAGGTTAAAACCAAATGAAGATTCTCAAGTGTCGCTCCAACTGTCTTTTGTGAGCAGGGTAAAAACAGTTTAGTTATAGTCAAGACCTTTGGTTGAAACATTAAAACACATGATCTGTCATTAATGAAAACAATGTAAGGATAAACTCAAAGTGTCAGTATTTAAAATCAGCACATTTTTATACTAACTCACTCCGTATCACTTTTCATATCTGATTTTGCATCAAACTCTTAAAAGGTGCTGAAACCATTTACAGCAACACTTTAAATAAGGCTGAGAGTGCTCAGAACACACATGCTTTTGGCAGGTCTTCTGATTTGTGTCAGCAACCATACTGAAATCCCTGAGCAACCTAATTGCTTAATTGGATTACATTACGAAGGAGGAGTATGTGAACACTTAAAGGGTTAGTTCACCCAAAAATGAAAATTCTGTCATTAATTTCTCACCCTCGTGTTGTTCCAAACTTCGGAACACAATTTAAGATATTTTTGATGAAATCTGAGGGCTCCCATAGACAGCAAGGTAACTACCACATTCAAGGTCCAAAAAAGTACCAAGATGATCGACAAACATTTTCGTCTCTACTGCGTCACTTGACATCAACAGTGTTTGTATGATGTACATCTTAGGACAGTGCTGATGTGGTAATCACAGCTCTTTCTGACATCCTCACCTTGTGTACCTCACAAATGAAGAAAATTAAATGTTGTATGGAGTCTTTCATTGACTCTACTGCGTCACTTGTGGACGCACGTTCACGACAGTACCATATACGCGAGCGTGTGACGGCGCCGGCGCTGACGTCATTATGCTGGATCTGGGTCAGCGCCGCCACACGTTAATGACAGAATTTTCATTTTTGGGTGAACTAACCCTTTAAACAAGCATAACTGTGCTAGTCAGACTTCTGCTAAGAGAAAGACAGTGACTGAGACAGGGAGAGAGTTTTTGCATTCACAGTAACTTGATAAATTAGGACCATGATAAAATCAGGCCTTTCATGAACTTGGCTATATGGACATGGAAACTAGTGCCTAACAAAAAATAAAATATATTGCTAATGTTTTCAGTCACTGTATTTGGAGCAGTCTTCTGAGGTTGAACAGTTCCCTCTAAAGCGATCACTCTGACTCACTATCATGTTGTTTCAATTTAAAGGAATTTTCTAATCTAGAGGGCTGTTGCAACCAAATTTAACCATTGAGTTGAATTCGAGAACTGAATCCGTCAGCTTCATGAATAAATCATTCAGACTGCTTTTGTGAACTGGATCAACCGATTCACTGCACCAGTCCTTTTTGACTTTTCAATTTTAGACCAAAATGACTGAGTAAATGCTGACAGAATCTTCATTTTTGGTGAACAGTTTATTGCTTTAAATTGTTAAGACAATGATACAATGATAAAAGACTTTGCACAGAAGAGTGGCCATGTGGGAATAGACAGCAGACAAATTGTGAAGGAAAAAAAAAACAAGCACATGTATCCTCATTTAGAACAGTGCGGTCTGAAATCATCTCTGCAAGGCAGTCTACAAGTCAGTGGGAGCTGAGCGTTCCTGCCAAGCACAGGATGTGAGCTCTGCCCAAGGAAACAGCAACACTTCCTGTTTTTGCCATATGCATGCCAGCCCATGCATAACTAGGAGCACAGACCTATGCTGTGAGTCTGAGAACTAGTGTAACAGTACATGGCTCAAAGATGTTAAGATGTCCGCATCAAAAGAAATTTACAAAAGTGATTTTATGTCCATAGAAAACACATTAAATGTAAGTAAAGTGTCTACTTTTAAGGTTTCAAATACGTTTTTGGAGGATAAAATGTCAAAATTTGGTTGGAATAATGTTACATTGTCATTCAGTGTAACACAATATTTATGTAAAAATTCAAACAACATGCTTATTCTGACGTATACATATTAAAACATAAAAGAATAAGGGAGCATATTAAATTTTATTGTGTTTTAAATGAGTAAAAAATTCTTACTGAAAAATGATGATTTGGTGTGAAAGTAATTAGTCTTTTAATATGTCATAAATAGATTTTTGTTGTAAATATGCCTGACAAGACTGTTACACTGAATCACATTTTAGTGGGTCTCTTCTCAGGGAAATCAGGGAAAAATGTATGATATTTATTTTTTGCTCAGAAAAACAAAAACAAAGTTGCAATTAAATTAAACAGAAAACTTTATAAATTTCTTTGGGAAAAACAACAACAATTTAAAGCAGTATTAGACTTATTGTTTTTATGCTTAAACCATTTTCCTCTTTGACCCACACACAAAATAAGTTTTTGTTTCTATGCCAAAAAAGCTTCTCTACACCAAAATGTGCAAAATTATGTTTTACATTTTGAGTAATCACATAAATAATATTTTTCCTGTTCATCTGCAGAAAGTTCAGAAGACGTTTTTTTTATTATTATCTTTTCTCTCTCTCAAAAAAAAAAGATACTGATGACACTGAAAGGAAATCTTGATCAAAATATGCACACACCAACAGCCATGCATCATTCCATTAATAATATTTTGGTTTATACCACGGTGTAATTTAATCATTTAATGAGAAGATGTGGGTAATAAGATCACGTGTTATAGAAGTCTAATCTCACAAACAAGGATCTGACATCATTAGTAAGTGTTAGTAAAAGTGACAAATCGCACTGTGCACCAGAAAGCACTGGGGAAGCTCAAGAGGTGAATCTCTACAGGGCTTGTTCCATTTCAGTGTAGACAACATGATCTAAAGAGGATTTAACAGATTACTTGAATGACTGGGATCAAAGGATTTGTAGCAGTTCAAAAAGCACACCCATTATCTCTGAGAAAATATAAACAAATGAAGGAATAGGAGAAGTTTGTCTTTGTGTATTCTCTGTTCTCATAAGTGTCTACGAAGTTTGAGAAATCAATACTTGAAACATCTTGAAAAGGTTTTGAAAGTAGGTTGCTTTTTTACTTTTTGGTGAATTTGTAATCTCTGTTTTAAAGTCACTGGCCTGTGGCCTCATTAGCTCTGAGATTAACCTACTTCGTTGGGATTCTTTCTACTGATCTGTTCACTTCAGATCAAGTGCCATTTATTGTTCTTTTGATGTCGGGTTATCTTTTTTTTTAGCAGAAAAGCCACAATTCTGTGACATGACCTCAGAGTGAACCCATGCTATTCAGACCAAGCTCTTAGAAGCTGTACCTGTATGGTTCCTAACTGTATATCTAGGACATGGTTTCCCAAACTGGGGTTCATGAAGAAGCGAAAATCACGAGTGAGCTGAAATAATTCATTAAATCATAAAAATGTAAAATAAATAAAAAATGAAATACTTTATTTGTTTACCTGCAGGTCATGTGACTATTAAACAAAATCAGAGAACCATGAACTTGTGAATGTGCTGTTAATTTATATTAATTATTAGGCCGTGGGGGTCAAACATAAGGCCTGTGAAGGAGTCCAATCTGGATGATTTTCAGAAAAAAAAAATTAAAATTAAAAGACGTTAAATAAAACACTCTAGTACATTTTGCGTATCTGTATGATATATTAATAATATTCTACTTTTAGCCACAGCAGGACGGATACAAATGTGTGTTGCATGTAACACCTCACATCTTAAAGTTGCAAATTAACCTCTTTAAAGAACACACACTATGTGGAAATTCATGCCTTTCATCTGTAACTGGATCTGTGTGACAACAGTTCCAGTTAATTTTTACCTAGTTTGTACGAGTCGCTCATGAGAACATGGACAGGTACAAAAAGAAATATTACTCTTAAATGTGAATTCCTCAACCGCTGAATATTTATTACACATGCTAAGATACAATAATGCTCATCTGATTGTCAACGTTTGACTGCGAAGGCAGCCTGTGACTTAATCACACATTCAAACAGTTTTTTATGCCGTATAGGAAAATATAATATAAAAGGTGATGCTTAGTCCGGTCCGACCCCTAAATGCCCTAAAATGATCTGACACCCCTGATGTGGGCTGATATTATGCTCCACTAGACATCAATACACCTCACATTCTGAAGTTGGTGATCAGCATGCAGTGAGTCACCTCAGTCTCTTGTCCAACTGAAGAGATGCTAAACAGCTCCCAGATCTGAAAATTCATAAAAAACACATTAGCAGGCTAATCTATTTATTCAAGCGTCAATAATAATTCACCTACCTGTGCTAACACATTAACAAATCCTTGACGTAATATTTAGTGTTTGTGTGCGTATAGAGCAGGAAGACTGAAAGCTGGCAGGCACAGTTTGTTCCGGACATGGGAAGTCCCTGTGCATTTCATGAAAGGGACATTCAGAGCTGACCAGCTGTACTACGGTAATGCCCCTCTCATGCTCAGCCCACTTCTGTAATGTCACACTCGGCTCAATCAACTTCCCCTCTCTTTATCTTTATGTCTGAACATCCCAATTTAGGTTTAAGGCATCAATCTTCACGTTAATCAAATGAATGCACAAGTTTTCACAATGAAGACTCCAATCCCTTTTAATAACAGGTTTCTACACACTACAGGTTAGATTTATCATTCTTGCCAAAGAGCACTTAATTTCATAAGTAATTCATTTCATAACTGGCTGCCAATAAAAAGATCAGACACTACAATATATCTAGAGATCAATACTCAAATCAAGCATGATCTGGGTCACTCTCAGATTGGCCACAGACCAAAATAAGCAACAAATGCCAAGGCTGTGGCTGCTAGTTGAGTCAAACTAAACTGAGAGGCTTTGTTGGAGTCTATATGCATGAATAGGGCACATGTCCAACTCAGCCCTGCTCTTCTACAGTGGACTGAGGACCGGAAGAAAGCATTGTCAGCCTGATAAAATCTGAAATAAATTGTGTTTGTGTAAGCTGGATGTGAACCACACTTGTGGTTACAGGTAGGGTTATTATCATTAACTAAGACCAAAACTATTAAAAAAATTTTTGTTAATTGAAATAAAGCTGAAATCAAAAGAAGATACTAATCACAATACAAGTACTCAATATTCCATTTAAATCAATGGGATTTTTTAAAAGCTTCTAAACTAAGAATCTTCAAGTATCAAGTAATATATATATATATATATATATATATATATATATATATATTAGATAAATATTGGAAAAACTAAATAAAAATGAGAAATGTTGCCTTGGCAAATAACAGAAAAAGGTTGTAAAGTGAAAAACTAACCAAACTAAACCTGAAATAAAAAATAAATCAAACCTATACTGTAATATTTAAAAATAAATAAAATAAAACCAATAAAAAAAAGACAAAACTAATTACTAAAAATGTAAAACTTAAAATACAAAAATAAAATCTAATTCAAAATATTAATAATACATTATAAAAGTATACAAGTAATACTAAAATAACTGCTACAGGCACGCAAACTGCCATTTTGACTGATTACATCCATTAATAATTGAAAAAGAAAAATAAGAAAAAAAAAACTATGCCTATATAATTACTTAATAAACAACTATATACTGTATATAGGTTGGTTGTCGTTACAGTCAGTTGGTTTGTTAAAAATTGTTATTTCACATTGATCAAACTGATTTCCTCATGCATTAAACATCCTGAATGAACAACCAGTGTGGGAAGCATGTTCTTGCACTGAATCAACAGTATTCTGTCAGGCATTATATAACAAACTATTAAGAACAACTCCCACAAACATTGTAAAAGGTCATGTTTTGACTGAGCTATATCCTGGGATAGGGGGCACATGATCTCATCTGTTTTCTGAGTGGTCTAGCTGTCAGTAAACAAAACTAAGGTTAACAAAGTAAAATATATTTTTAAGTAAAATAACATTCATTTAGATGTTGCTGTTGTGGTCATATTTAGAGGGAAAGCCCTATAGGGAAACCTGTTGTTGTATGAACGGCCTCCTTAATGACAAGTATAAGATATAGTTTCCCTGGATGTGAATATGAATCGGTTCAGCCTGACGACATGCTGAGATTGGTGTACTCATATAAAATATATACAGTATATTACGTGTTTCAAAAAGACAGCGTCAACAACGGCTACATTTTCAAATACAGCATGCAAGCTGGTATGCAACCAACACAAATCACTGCTGTCATATCAGAATGGTTCGTACGAACAGTGAATACGCCGCTCTATTCATTGTCATAATAATAACACTACATGCACCGCTTACCTTAGGATTAATCTTTTAGTTATCAATCCGTTATAAGAATATCATCAGCTCCATGCACAACTAAGCACAATGTCTTCCTATACGTCCACATTTGTCACAGATAAATAAAAAACATATCGCACAGAATCATAGCACACAGAGAGACTAATATATCAGAGAAGCGTTTTCTGCCCTAATTAACATCAGCTGGTCGGACTGGTCGCTGTGACTCTCTGGAGAGGCGCCATTTGACTGCGCTTAGCGGACGGAGGCGCGCGGTTGCTGATGTGCTGCTGTAAGATCCGCCCTCACGAGCGCCCTCTGCTGACGCGACGCGCGTAGTGCTGCAGGTGCCCGGCTACTGTGGGGGCAGACAAGTGGAAACTGCCATCTGCTGGTGTTTGTCAGGATCATCGTACACAGAGCTGTCCTAATTTGACCTGTGCATGAGACATTATAAGAGCACCAAAATTCATTGTGCAGTAAATACACATTTAAATACTGAAAGTTATAGTTAATAAAAAAAGCCTTTTTGTAAAAGACCTGTCTACTTATTATTAAAAATATTTTGAGTGGAGTTTGATCCAGGTCATATTTAAATTGCATTGACTGAATGACATGAATATATATATATATATATATATATATGTGTGTGTGTGTGTGTATGTATGTAAAACACGATGTTAACACTGAATTTACTGTGAACTGAGATAAACTATGTAATTTCATGAAATGTAAATATGAAATGTTATAGTTTTATCTGTGTTTCCTTAATTATGGACATTTCCAATTCTAGAGGTCGATTTTACACACACACACACATACACACACACACACACACACACACACATATATATATATATATATATATATGAGGGCCATCATGCCTTCATTTTAAAACGTATTTATTTATCTATTTTTGCCGCTTATTTAAAGCATTTATGTATAGGTTTTATTTCAAATATGAATTATTACATGTTTAAAAGAAACGTCCCCTTTTCAGGATAATGTATTTTAAAGAAATGTAGTAAAATCCAAATAAGCTTTACACATCTTTATTGCAAAGAATTTAAACAATATTTTTTCATACTTGTTCACTGATCCATAAACAATTATTGCACATGCACTTGTGAATCGGTCCTTAAAGACACTTAGAGGTTTTGCAGGCAGTCAACAGTTAAGGCCACATTTATAAAAGAGATTTTCTACTGCCTCTGAAAAACACCAGAAGAAATATAATTTTCTAATTTTATAACATCATTATAAAAATTGTATAATTATAAAAAATATATATTATGTTATATTATATATAGAATTTTTTGTTGATGCTATTATGATTATATTCTGTAAGTTTGGCACATCTTGTACGGTCAGTACCATTTATCGCCACTAGGTGTCAGTGTGAGGCTTACAAGCTTACATTACCGCATGTGGCAACGTCACAAAAGATTTAATTCATGCTGCAATAAAAAAAAGTGCACTTGTCTACACCGCAGAACATGTCAGGACATGTTACAGCATATTAGTTTTCAAGATGTTGGTTGTTTTGGAAGTCTGCATAATAATCTACATGCTAATCTGATGTTTGGAAAGGATGTCCTTTAAAGCATGCATGCTGTAATTTGCAGGATAGTGCTGAAGACAGAGTCTAATTACACAAGGTGTAATTATGAATGCATTAAATTTGAATGCAAACTAATTGATAATGTTATGATAGAATGTCAAACTGGATAAATCTAAAAGGTCTGTCACATAGAGAACTACAGATTTACTTAACATTTGTGACATTGTGACATTTTGTGACACTTTTAAATAACCTAAACGTCTAAATACTTCTTTTCTCATTTATTTAATATTATTGGGTATATTCAAAGTTATACTAACAAGACAGCAGTGGAAGAAATGAACTGTTCGGAGAGAGAAAATATCAAGCGTGCAGCTTTCTTGGTGAAAAATGTTGGAAAGTACAGCAGGTCAGATATTGCCTTGTGGTTTGGTGTTTACCTTTTCACTCCATGTAGCCCAGGGCCAAGTCACTATGGCAACTTCCTTGCACCAGGAAGGGAATAATTGCAGTTCGGAATTCCAAATGGATGGTGTGCGTTGTTGAAGGTGATAGTTTTGTGCCTCTCATCAGATACTGCAATCTGTCTGACTAAGAAAAACAGTCACATATCGACCTGGTTCCTGCGGTGAGTTTCTGTGTTCATGTGTTGCAAATCAGTGGATTTGCTTCTGTATAAAGGGATACAACACTGAAAGCTGCCATGTTTTATGTCATGAGAAGACATATATGGGATTTGGTTCATTAGTCCAAGTCATATATCATTTTTTAAGCAGCTGCATTTTTCTTCTTTGGCTCCAATGTGGCTTGGAGATAAATTCTCTTCTTTTTTAATGTTTCTGCTATGAAGGATCACTTTAATCTTTCAGCTTATTTTCCTGCCTGCATTTGGGTGGTATCTTCTGAAGGAAATGTTAAATTGAGTGTGATGAATCTGTGAAAAGCACAGGCCCTATATTACAGAAAACAGCAAATGTGAAAGATCACTGACGTCTGAAGCGGGTCAAGAAAATGTGCAGTCACACTGACCATTGTTTGTCGAATTGTTTGTCTGTGAATCCAGTCGTTTCAATAGAGACCCACGCGATCTGGAATTTGGAGTAAAGGTGCAGTCATATTAGTGAAATTATGCAGACAAAAAAGGTCCATTGTCTGTTGTCAATAGTGTAGTGATGTACGAAGCACATCTCAAACAGAAATCACTTTCTAGCCAAGCAGGTGTCTGTTGGTCAGTGCAGCAACTTGTTGCAAATTCTGTGATAAAATCTTACGCCCTCATGAGAAATTCCCAATTATGTGAATTTCCCACCACAGATTTAACATTCAAGTAGGTCATGCAAATTTGCCACGTTGCTGTTGACCAACAGAAAGCTGCTTGGTTTTATAGTGATTCTGTATGAGCTGTGCTGTATACATCGCTACACTATACACTACTTACAAAAGCAACTGATCTTTTTTTGTAAATGCATTTTATAGGACAGCAAATAAATTTATAAAATCAAGTCAAGTTATCTTTATTTCTATAGTGTTTTATACAATACATATTGGGTCAAAGCAACTTCACAGAGATAAACAGGAAGTAGCAGAATCAGTTATGGAAACTCAGGAATGGAGACAATTCAGTTTCTGCAGTTCTACAAAAGGCAGCAATGTTGTTATTCAGTTTGAGCCAGTTCTTTGTTGATTCTGTTCAGTTCAGTACCAGTGTTGATGCTGCAAGATGCGATTCAGCTGTAAAGCAGCTCTACAGAAAACAATAGTGCCATCTGCTTAATTCAGTTCAAGATTTGTTCTCACAAGCGGTAAAATTATAATTCAATCAATATTTATAACTTAATCAATAATTCATGCCATATTTCATATTTATTTGTAAAAAGCAGGGTCCTGATCACCCAGTCTTGATTTATTTAGCATTAATGACCAGCTGATTGTACAAATCCCTCACTCAGGGGCACCGCTAGCAATTTTGGGCTCTATGAAAGAATATGAGGTTGGGCCCCCTACCGCACCAAACATACACTATATTGCCCAAAGTATTGGGAAAACTCAATAAAACTAAAAAAAAAACTCATCGCCAAACACCAATGACTTGTACATATACGTACAATCATTTTAGACACTTCCAAAACTGTGGCAACAAAGATGGAAATAAAATTTTTACATACATGAATTATGTTTCCATCTTTGATGCCACAGTTTTGGAAGTGCCTTTTTCTGTTCTAAAGAAGGGGGTGTCCCAATATATTTGTCCAGATGTATGTACAAGTCACGTGTATTTAGTGAAGAGTTTTTGGCTCAAGGTCTGCATTTAAAGTCACACCAGAGGTGTTCAGCTGGGATTAGGACTTGGCTTTCTGCAGACCAGTCAAGTTCTTCCACACATCTTTTTTTTAACCTTGCCTTATACACAGAGGCATTGTCGTGTTAGAATAGAAAATAAAACAGATCTCTGGGGGAAAATTGCTTGGGCCCTTAGAATCGTCCCCCCCCAACCTTAGGGGCGCCCCTGCCCTCACTTATGTCTTTCTCAAATGATTTCAAACATTCATACATCTATTCAGCACTGGCTGGATTTTTCAGTCCTCCCGACTTTGATATATTTTCTCAAAGAAGATGGAAGAGGGTTAGATAAGGGCTGGAGATGCAGAACATCCATGTCATATACCTGCTGACCCCTTTTGTTTTGTTAGGCCCACCATGCCCATTACAATTTCATTACATGGAGTCAATTCATCTTTTTTAAAATCTTGATTAAATCTTCATGCTTGAGCTAACCGGAGGCACTGATCCATCTAGCTGTCTTCTCGGCTCCTGCTTTAACCTCTGGGGTTGTGTGCACAGGGCCGTTCTCGGCGCAGTCCAATGAACCCCTTTGACACTAATTGAATTGCTGGAAAGCCATGTGATCTCTTTATGTTATGGTCATTAGAGAAAATAGGAACTGATTTTTGATCACGCATACAGTATTTGTGAAACTTTCCAACCGAAGTAGGACCTGAGGGTGAATCGCTGTGCCAAATCCAACACAAGAAGTCTCTTTTCATCTGAAAAGTCCTGATTACAGGACTGCAGTAGGGCAGACACCAGCAGCTTGGATCTGTTATCCATCACCCAGTCTGACACCAGACCACCGCGGGCCATTCAGTCCCAGCGTCCCTCTCCTCTTTCCTGCACCATAACCATACATCTCCCCCTCCCTTCTTTCTCCACCTGGTCTGAACTAATGAACCCCTGAGGTCAAGGGTGATGGTTGGGGCACTGTTGTCAGTCAGACAATGTCCAGATGATCCCTCTATCATTTTCCCCTTTTATTTTTGTCCTATAGTGCATCTTGATTAAACTAGGTGGCATTACCTCATCATTGTCATAATACGAATTTCATTCGAGCTCAGGCAGATGTATGACTTCACTCATCTGGCTGCGGTTTTCATCAGAGTTTATACCCAAAGCCCAAAGCCTTTATTTCCTGGAATAATTAATGACATAACCAGGAGCAGTTTTGGTATTTACTAGATGAACAGGGCCGGTGACAAGACTCCAGGGGAGGGAATGAGAAGACCGGTATGTGCGGATTTGTTGCAAGCCGTAACGCTTCTTTCCTCGGTCCAGCTGCAGTTCTTTTCCCAGCGGAAACCAACCGGACTGTGTCCATCACTTCAGGTGGAAGTGATTCCATTAGCAGCTGCAAGGCTAATGCCTTGTTCTCCCTGCAGACTGGAGGGGTTG